CATCAGTCTTAGCAATATCTCTCTAGATATGTCTCTCCAGGCAAGGGAAACAAAAGTGATAGCAAACAAATGGGATTATATCAAACTAAAAAGCTTCTGCACAGCAAAGGAAACCATTAACAAAATAAACAGACAACCTACTGAATGGGAAAAGATATTTGCAAATAATATACCTGATAAGTAGTTATATCCAAAATACATAAAGAAGTCATACAATTCAGAAACAAAAACCCAAAGAACCCAATTAAAAAATGGGCAGAGGAATTTAACCAGCATTTTTCCAAAAAAGACATGCAGATGGGCAACCGGCACATAAAAAGATATTCAATATTACTAATTACTAGGGAAATGAAAATTAAAATCACAATGATATATTACTTCATGTTTGTTAGGTTGACATTATCAAAAAGCTAAGAAATAACAAAAGTTGGCAAGGATACAGGAAAAGGTAGGAATGGAATTTGTGCAGCCATCCTGTAAGACAATATATAGATTCCTGTAAATATTAAATTTTTATGAATAGAACTACTATATGATCCAGCTATCCCACTTCTGCATCTTTATCCAAAGAACTATATAAAAGCACTAATTTGAAAAGCTATATCCACCTGTATATTTACTGTGGCATTATATACAATAGCCAATATATGGAAACAAGCTAAGTGCCCATCAATGGATACATGGATAAAGAAGAAGTGGTGTATATAAAGATGTGTGTGTGTATGTGTGTGTGTGTGTGTGTGTGTGTGATGGAATACTACTTAGACATAAAGATAACATCTTGCCAACTGTGACAACATGAATGGACCTTGGCATTTTGCCAGGTGAAATAAGTCAGACAGAGAAAGGCAAAGCCATATGATTTTATCATATGTGAAATATAACAAAGTAAAAGAATAAATTCAACAAAAACCCCCGACCTTGTAGGGAACAGAGTAGTGTTTACCAGAGGGAGAGGATCAAATGGGTAAAGGGGATCTAATGTATGGTGATCAATGGAACCTAAATTTTTGGTGTTGAACACACTGTAGGGTATGTAGAAGTATAGATATAATGTTGTATGCTTGAAAAAATAAATTGAGGTTAATTTTGAACTCCTAAAGTTTCAAAAAATTCAGATTGTATGATCTATTTTTTCCTCTATTGGCTCCTGTCAGTAGACATTCTAGGGAAGGAAAAATAATTTCCCCCCTAGCCTTCTGAGTTCTTACCTGAGACCCCTATAATTAAAGATAGGTTCATAAGAGAAAAAAATAGAAGTTTATTAACATGTATGCCTCATGTATACATGGGAAATGCCCAGAGGAAAATGAGTAACTCCCTAAGATGGTTTAGAATTCCGATTCATATAGCATTTTCAACAAAAAGGTAATAAACTTGTGGAGAAATGACAGGACAAAATAAAGCAGATTTTTGCTTCCAAGGGTGAAGAGAAACACTTCCTGAAGATAAACCTACCTTCCTGTTCATCCTTATTTTCTATCACTTGCCTTTTTATATCCTTTACTTCTATCACTGAACTTGAATTTGTTTTATTCATCGCTTTGATGAATTCATTCCTTCTTATTAGAATACTGTTTTCCATCTTCTCCTGCATGTTCTTCATATGTCCAAACAAATGACACCTCCTCTGGGACCCTTTTCTAGAGAAGTCCAGGAAATATTTCTCTGTTTCCTACACTACTCCCCTCATATTGTCTTTGAAATCTTAGTTACATTTTTGCTATGTTTATATATGTACACACACACACAAAGACATATACAGTATATTCACATATAAAGTATAGTACTCTTCAGAAATATAATTAAGTGCATTGTGCCATATTTATACATACACATGCAAACAGTATATATGTATATGTGTATTTATATATAAAAACATGTATATGTATATTATATACATACACACATATGTGTATGGTGACATAAATATGTCCTTTTTATTCTTAACGGCCTCATGTGTTGTTTAGAGAAAATGATAGGAACTAGTCAATTAGCTCTTGGAAAGGACTCCTTAGTGCTACCCTTAATCCTCATGTTACCTCAAAGTTTCCACTTCATTGTAAAATGGGGCAAGGTAATGATAATAGAGGTCAGTTCAGTCACTCAGTTGTGTCTGACTCTTTGTGACCCCATGGACTGTTAGAGGGAATGCCACAAAGATTAATGAAGTACTCTCAAACATGAAAGAGAGTCAATGTTAATGAGTTCTGTGATGGTAACACTAAGTATATTATCTCAATTTAATTTATTACTGTATGCTAGGATTTTAGGAGTAAAAGAGAACATTAAAAATAGTTTGTGTATGGCTGAGTCCCTTTGTTATTCACCTGAAACTACCACAATATTGTTAATTGGCTGTATCCCAATACAAAATAAAAAGTTTAAAGTTTGGGGGAAAAGAAGTTTGTGTTTGATGGGAAACCAGCAGTTGCTTAACTGTTAGACTTTCTCCCAATCTGATGTAAAAAAAAAAAAAAAAATCAGTGGTTATCATTGATAATGAACAGATAAAAAAGGTTTTGTTTGTTTACCTTGTTAATGAGTTTGCCTGCTATAATCCTCACACTGGATTCAGTCACAAACATATTCACACACCTACATATACACATTTTTACACAACAGGAATTTCACCAAACATCCAGCTAAGTACTCAGTCAGGAGTATGAAGTGCCTTTGAGTTACCTTGCTCTGTAGACCTCTGTTGCTCCTCAGTGTTCCTTTGTTCTCATCTTATTTTGCATAACTGGTAAAAATGATGGGAAACAGACATACTTAAGTCTGTTTACTACACAGGACTAAGTACATAGATGTTGTAAATAGCATCCCATCAAATTTAGTTTGATAAAAATCAGTATAGTCCTTTTGATTGAATAAGATACCAACTACTCCAACTTGCCAACGAAATTTCCCGTTGGCTTAGATTTTTTTTGATTGAAAAAGCCAACACTGTACTTATCCACACTTCCACAAGAATCTTGGTTGGAGGAAACATCCCTCTAGCATTGGGTCTGGATTGGGAGGGGAGTCTTCACACCTTGAAACATGTTCTTAAAGCATAGACATCTTCACTCAGAATATCACGTTTCTTCTTTTTTTAAAAAAATATTTCATTCCATTCTCTTCTATTTTATTTTTATTTTTGGATGCATTGGGTCTTTGTTTCTGTGCATGGGCTTTCTCTAGTTGTGGTGTGTGGGGGTTACTCTCTAGTCACTGTGTGTGGGCTTATGCTTGTTGTAGTTTCTCCTGTTACAGAGCACAGGCTCTAGACAATGAGGTCTTTAAAGTTGTGGCACATGGTCTCAGGAGTTGCAGCTCATGGACTCTAGAACATGGGCTCAGTATTTGTGGCATATAGCATTTGTTGCCCTGTGGCATATGGAATCTTCCTGGATCAGGGATTGAATCCATGTACCCTACATTGGCAGGCAGTTTTTTAATCACTGTACCACCAGGGAAGTTCGAATTTTCACTTTTCTTGTTCTCAAGTGTTTTTATGTTTCAAATCACTATTTTTATATCACATAAATATCCAATTGTTCCAGTACCATTTGTTGATAAGACTATCATGTCACTATTGAATTACCTTAGGTAAAAGGTACAGATTGCTTGAAATACACATATTGCCAAAACTCTCTTAAGAAGAAACATATAACCTGAATAGCCCTACACCTATGAAAGAACTTGAATTTTTAGTTTAAACTTTTTCACACAAAGAACTTCAGATTAAAGATGGCTTCACTGGTAAATCCCATTAAACATTTAAGAAAACAATAATGCCAATTATATACAACTCTGCCAGACAAAGAGGACAGAATATTCTTCAACTTGTTCTATGAGTCCATCATTACATGGATACCAAAACCAGGCAGAAATATTATGGAAAATTAAAGACAGATTAATATCCCTAACAGACAAAAGTATAAAAATTCTTATCAGATATTGACAAATATAATCATACTGCATATAAAATGGATAATATTATCATGACCAAGTTGGGTTTTATTTCAGGAATGCAAGATTGGTTTAACGGACAGTGGAATTCACCATATTTATAAACACCATATTTATAAACTAAAACAAACAAAAAAGAGACCATCTCAATAGATGCAGAAAAAAGCAGTTGAAAAAGACAAAATCCATTCTTGATGAAAATTTTCAGAAAACTAGGAACAAAAGGGATGGTCTTCAATTTAATGAAGGACATTTATGAAAAATCTATAGCTAGATCATGTTTAATGGTAAAAGACTGAATGTTTTATTCCTAAGATCAAGAATAAGGCAAGGATGTCTGATCTCCCCACTTTTATCCAAAATACTGGAGTTTCTAGTCAGTGCAATAATGCAGAAAAAGAAATAAAATACATTTAATTTTAAGTGAGAGAAGTAAAATATCTTTATTTTTAGACAACATGATTGTTTATGTAGAGTATGTAGGATCTACATAAAGTTCCTAGAACAAATGAGTGCATTTCTATATATTAGCAATAAACAATAAAAAACTTAAAAAATTAAACTATAATATTAAAAATGCTTAATACTCAGGATAAACATGACATAAAATGGGCACAATGCTAAAAACTACAAGAGGGAGAAATTAAAGATCTAAAATGGAGAGATATACAGTGTCATGGGTTATAAGACTCAACATTTTTTGTGATATAAATTCTCCCCATTACCAAACACACTTTAAAAAGCTTATTAAACTTTATTTAGCCAACAAATCTGGGCTCACTTCTGTATACCCTCCCATCTTTTTCTTTATCTTGAGCATCTCCAAACTTGCCAATTCAGTATGTGAAAATCTATTTAAAGTATAGATTCTCATCATAAAGAGAGATACTATTTTCCATTTTATTTAGACTTTAGTCAGATGGGCTAGGATTTATTCTTACTTCTGCAGGAAGGGAAACAGCAGCTATAAAATTTAATATATGTATGTACATATCTGTAATTGAACTTCTAGGCTGAATTCTGAGACCCAAATAAATTTCTTATCAATAAAATGCAAGTAAAACAGCCAGAAGAAGCACTGGGAATAAAAGAATTTTAAGCAAATTGTAAAAGGGTTGGGGTCTTTTAGCTTCACTGACAGCTCTTGTCCTGGTTGGCTTTAATGTCCTGTCCCATTGGGTCAGAATGGCATTTCTGGCCCCATCCCACTTCCCTGGTCCCATCAGTCGGAACTGGTATGGACTACAAGGACCAAAGTACACCTCCAGGGCCAGCTGGGGATCAGTCAGGAAGAGCCATGGTATGTTAGGTTTGGCCCCTATGAAGGAGCCCAGTTCATCCATGTATGTGATGTAATCTGTCTGCAGAGTCTGGCTCTGGCCAAACCTGAGGAAACAAAAGAATACATTGGAGTGAGTGCCACAGTTGTAAACAGAGGCACAAATTTCATTTTCTTACTTTCAGAAAAGTAGCATTTTAGTCAACACCTCCAGTAATACCCCTGACTCCTCTCTTTTCTCACAACATAGAATGCATCATATGTTCTTTGACTTAAATGACCTGGTTTTGTTTTTTCCTCTAAAAACAAAATAATACAAGAAATTAAAAATGGAAACTTTAAAAAAAAAGTTAAAATATCTGGAATAATATAATTTGGGGAAGGGAACAATCCTTTCTAACCTCTATTCAAGTATGATATTATTTTGGGATTTTCCCTCTAGCCATGAAGCTGAGAGTGAACTGACCCTAGGGTCTCAAGGTGACTGATTAACTTAGTCTTTGATACATGATTATTCTTTCTATGACACTTGCTTAAGATCTTCTCCAGAGTTAGATGTTTATATTGATGTGTTTTAAATTGGGTTTATGAATAGTTTTAATATTTGCTGCAATTTATAAATTGTTTCATACATTTAGTTGGAATGTGATCTCATTTGCTTTTAGAAATTCTTAAGAATAGGATTGACATTGAGGCCTCTCTTTCCCCTCCTCTTTCTTCTTATTGGCTTCAGTCATAAAGGGTAGTAAACAGAGTAAGCTGCATGAACTGTTAGCACATAGGAGTGCTCATTTCACAGAGCTTTCCTGTGAACTGGAGGAGGTGCAGGGGAGGTTTTTTTCTTTGCTGATCTTTTAATTTTTTAAAAAATTATTTATTAGTTTTATTTATTTATTTATTTTATTAATTTTAATTGGAGGATAATTACAATATTGTGATGGCTTTCTGTATGAAACAGGGAAGGTTTTGTTGAGTCTGAGTATACCCATATCTTCTCTTCTTTAGACCCTTAGTCAATGATTTTCTTGGGCCTTTAATGAATGATATGTTAGAGACTTTAAAGTAGAAATACTTCCTATATGGTCACTTATTCATCTATATGTGATCCATTATCTAATTATTTTTAATAGATTTTAATGTTTAATTTAAAAAGGACTGACTTTTATAGGAGTGATTAACACAAAAAGAGTACATTTATACATCTGATATTGAGTCACTTAACTTCCTACAAATCCCATTTATGGTTACTTGAAAACTCATGATTGGATGAATCAGAAGTGACTATTCTCTTAGTAGAAAATATTATGGCAGGTGAACTCTACTTAATACTGATTTGGTTTTCTTGGTTTCTACTTGGTTATTTGGTTTCTACAGCATTGCCACTGCTCACTTTCCAGTTAGCTAATTTGCTGATAGACATGTGGCTGATGGGAAAGAAACTCTTGGGAAAACAGTTAGAGTCATTTTTCAACCTCAGCACTATTGACACTTTGAGATGGATAATTCTTTGTTTAAGTGGACTGTCCTCTGCATCCCCTGTTTCTACCCATTAGATACAAGTAGCATGCCCTCTTCACTTGCAATGACCAGAAATGTCTCCAGATTTTGCCAAATGTCCCCTGGGGGGCAAAATCACCCCTGTTTGAGAACCTGTGTGCTAGAGTTATAGAGAAGAAATATAATGATTATTATTTGCCCATATGATACTGCTTGATTATAGCAAGTGTTTCAAAAATGTTAACTGACTAATGACAAGTTTATAGAATATATTAATGTTTTCCAACTTATAAAGGCAAATTTTAAGATTTGTTCATTAGCAAGTACCATCTCTTACCATTTGAGTTTCTTCCCCATTTTCTCCTCAATGTCATCCATCATTTCATTTGTAGTTGGCAAGGTACATGAATCTAAAAAAGAAATGAAGTCAGAGATATTGAAAAAGAAAAAGAAATCAGAAATATGCAATTATATATGATGAATTTCATTCAGTGTTTATGAACTATATCCCTAAAAGATTTTGTATCAAGAGAAACTATTTTTAGTGTGTTTAGCAGAATAACAGTTCACAAAAACAAAGATATGAGAAGCCAATGAACTTGCTCTAGGAATTGCAAAGCTGGCCTTCCATAAGATAGTGACAGTGGAGAAGTTTGTAGCTTCAAGTGACTCAGTCTTATACTTCTGATGACATTATGGAGGGCCTAATCCTCAACATGACTCATGCATATAATAGCTTATCAGTGTCTTCATATTTCTTTCTGCATCCTCTTACTAAGAATTTTCTCAAGAGATAGTCTGGTAAAATAATTCAGTCTAAGGTCCATGGCAGTTCAATTGGGACAATGGAAGGAAATCTGGATTTTCCAACATCAGCCTGTAGCCAAGGAGGATATTTTAAGTGATGACAGAAAATTTTTAGTTTTTTTACAAATTTCACACTAATGGAGGCCTCTTCCAATTGCTAACTGTAGCTCATTTGCCTCTGTAATAATGGCAGGGGATATTATGACATTCTCATGAATACTCCCCAATCATTGTTAGTATCTCACCTCAGCCTATTGGTACCCTGTGGTCAGATATTTGCTGTGCCCCTTATTAGAAAGTAAGGGACCAGAATTCTGGTCATTTTGCTCGATGTATCTTAAGTGCCAAGACAGAGCTTGGCACATAACAGGTGCTCAGTGAATATTTGTTGAATGAATAAATGATGCCCTTAGTTTTATTTAAATTTTTTGGATATATAAACTGTGTCTGATCTTCCCATAAGACTGTTGTGCCTTTCAAGAGAAAAAGACAATAGAATCATTTACAAAAGATTTCATGGTGGGTTTTTGAAAGTAGTGATCCTTCATGGTCCATTTGAAATAGAAATTTATTTATCCACAGCATGTTAAGAAAACATACACATATGCTCTATGATTGTAACTTTTTCTTTATTACCTATAGTGTAAATTTCTATGAACAGTATGTTAGGTAAGGTACAACTATACTGCCAAGGTTCTTGAATCTTTGAATAAAAGCACACTCTCAATAACAGTGGTGATCAATATGATTCAGTTCAGTTCAGTAGCTCAGTCGTGTCTGACTCTTTGCGATTCCATGAACCACAGCATGCCAGGCCTCCCTGTCCATCACCAACTCCCAGAGTTTACTCAAACTCATCTCCATGGGGTCAGTGATGCCATCCAACCATCTCATTCTCTGTTGTCCCCATTTCCCCTTGTCTTCAATCTTTCCCAGCATCAGGGTCTTTTCAAATGAGTCACCTCTTTGCATCAGGTGGCCAAGGTATGGGAGTTTCACCTTTAATATCAGTCCTTCCAGTGAACACTCAGGACTGATCTCCTTTAAGATGGACTGGTTGGATCTCCTTGCAGTCCAAGGGACTCTCCAACACCACAATTCAAAAGCATCAATTCTTTGGCACTCAGCTTTCTTTATAGTTCTGTTCTTACATGCATATATGACTACTGGAAAAACCATAGCCTTAACAAGATGGACCTTTCCCATCTATTTGCCATCTATTTGCCATGAAGTGATGGGACCAGATGCCATGATTTTAGTTTTCTGGAGTAAATTAAATCAATATTTGAGACATTGGTTTTCTCCATGTAACCCTCATATTCTTAATTTGTCCACACAAACATACTTGTTGCCCCTGAAGCCCACGGGATCCAGGTGGAGGAAGGGGGAGATCATCAACAGAGTATAGGAGTGGCCTGACACTGCTATTTTGACAGAGTTCACACCAATAATGTCTCCAGCATGCCCTGACATCCACCAGGGCCCTTTCAATCTTTGCAGTGTAACTTGACATTGCGGTAACCAACTGCTGTGCTTCTCTTGCTTTTATAGGCTTTCAAAGTCCTATCAATCCCGCTATGAGAAGTTTAAGCTCTCTGACATAGCTTGTAAGGCTCTCCATGCTCTGGTTCCTTCCTTCCTTTCTTTCTTGCTGCTCTCTACCTCTGCTTTATATTTCGTTACACCAAAATGCTTCTCATTCCTCACATACTCCATGTTGTCTCTTACCTTTATACCTTTTCCCATGCTGTTTTTAGAGAAAACATGTTATTTTTATTTCTCTCATGTTATGTTTAGAGACTAACTCATAACCCAGTTATCCTCACCACAACACCCTAAACCTTTTCCTGTTGTAGCATTCCACTTACCTTCTTTTATGCTCTGTGAGGTCAAGGCTCATGTCTGTCTTATTCCCTTTATATCCCTAGTACCTATCACAGAGCTTGGCATGCAGTATATGCTTAGTAAATATTTGTTGACTAAATGAATGAAAGACAGAAGGGCCCACTTACTTGCAAATACTTTAACAACCCAGCGGGCCTGTAGGTCAGCCATGGGGATGGTAGCCCCAAGGGACTGGACGAGGCCAATCACAGCCAAGGTTGGCTTCTCCAAGAATGGGGGAAAGATGCCTTTGAACAAGGTGACATCATTATTTCTGCTTTTGATGATGGAGTCATCAAGGAAGGGGTAGGCATAACCATAGCCTGTTGCAAATATGACATAGTCAATGGCCTCAAACACTGTCCCATCCTCAAACACGGCTGAAGTCTCTGTAAACTCCTTCACAGTGGGCTTGATGGATACAGTGCCACATAGGATGCGGGAGGGGAGCTCATCATTGAACACAGGCTCTTTCCTTAAGGTGCTGTGGAGAAACAAGAGAAAGAGGCCCATGCTATAAAGTACCTCATTTCCAAGAAATATCTGCAATAGTCCATAGCACTGAAACAAAATTTAAGCAGTTGAACATCAGCATGAAGACATAGAGGGCAATTAAACTATCTTCTTTTGGGAAAGTTCTTTCCTGTTGATATTAATAATCCTTAAGAACATGTGTTGGACATACAGATGGCCAACAGGC